GAGGGGAGCGGCTGTTTCTAGGAAGAGAGAACAAACCGAGTACCCAGAAAGGGGAGTTGCGGTCTCTCTCTGCCTCCGCCCCGGTATTTCTGGGGACAGATGTGCGCTGGGGCCTGGGGAGGTGCCAGAGGTCAGCGCTGTGGAGGCTTCTGCAGCCTCCCGGCCTCTGCTCTCCCCCCAGGGCCCCAGGCCACAAGGAGAGAAAGGAACGGAAGCCCTGCGAGAGGGAAGTTCCCTTCATCCACGGGAGCCCCAGGACTGTCAGTCGCCCCCCAGCCCGTGTCGGTGTCGAGGCTGCTGCAGGGTCGCAGCGACCCCAGCAGAGGGCCCTGTCCGGCCCTCCGTCTGCCTGGAGCGCTTCCTCAGGAAGACGCGGCCTTGGCTGCAACTCTCAGGAAGCGATTAGACACCGGCCTGCCTGGGTCCCACCCCTCCCGTCCATTTGTGGCCGGGGCCATTCTCCCTGGCCTGGGCCTGAATGTCCCCGCCCCTGGCAGCTGCTCTTCTTTATCAATCGTTGCCCGGAGTTTGGGCCGCAAGGCACTGCCATTGGAATCTGAAGCTCAGAGGAAGCTGGGAAAGCCTGGGCCACTCCCACCTGGGCTGTTGTCCCGGGTGGAGGGGGGTGGAGGGGTGATGATCCACTCTCTTAGGCTCCTGTGTCCCCATGCACGCTTCAATTTGGAAACTGAATAGCAATTAACACTCATCATTTTCACTTACGCCCAGAGAACGTGAAGGAGAATGGGTGGAGTCATGCTGGGCCTGTTGCCTTGCGGGACCATTTGAACATAAACGCTTCATGCTGGTGTGGCTCTAGACATGCTCTCACCGAGGCCCGCCGTCCCTTCCGGAGGCTCCCCTCCTGGTATCTGGGTGGTTTCCTATCTGCACTGGCTCCCACCAGAGGTCTTTTTCCATCCTCCCCAATTCCTGTCACCATGGCTACACGAGTCCCCAGCAGTCTGTCACCTCACTACAGCCCTTGCTCCCCCTACCTGGCCCTCAGTCATGGCCAACTTTTCTACAGAATCCGTCCTTCACCCTTGGCCTCCCTCCCTCTGGCATCTGGGGAGTGCTTCCTCCCGTGTCCTGAGAAGACCCTTTGGTGAGCTAGCCCCTTCCTGTCCCCACACTCAGCCCCTGCACTGAGCTGAGCCCGTTTCCTTGTCTCTGAACAGCGATCCTCTGCTATTGAAATGGCACTCAGACCACGCTGTCGTCTCCCAGTCTTATTTACATTCGTCCTTTGCAATAACAAGAGCTAATGTTTATTGTCGGCTTAGTCTGGCCTGGCCCCATCTGTTCCAAGTGCTTCGCTGCACTTACCGTTTAGTCCTCACCGCGGTCTTCTAAACCGGTCACTATTATTAGCCCCGTTTTACAGATAAGAACACAGAGGTCCAGCAAGGTTAACTCGTCTTACCCATGTCGCACACCCAGGGCACGGCGGAGCCGGCCTTTGAAACCAAGGTGTTTGATATCACAGCCATGGTGACTCCCTACATAGTATCTCATTTATCAACCAGTGGTCTGTCTTTGGAGGAGGGCAGGATTCATACTGTCCCTATATTGTTAATACAGACTCAGAAACTGGCTGGTGTGGCTCCGTGGTTGAGTGTTGACCTATGAACCTGGAGGTCACGGTTCAATTCCCAGTCAGGGCACATGCCTGGGATCTGGGCTTAATCTGGTGCAGGAAGCAGCCGATCAAT